CCCCTACTTGGGTCACATTTCTCCTGGTTGACCTTAGTGTTGGGGTCAGGGTCAGGCTGTAAAGAGGTCAAGCAGGGTCCAAGGATACCGTCATGTAGGCCTCGTAGCCCACAGTGTTTATGCTTTAGACACGCCCACTCTTGTGACACGCCCACTTTGATTCCGCAGATAACCCCTTCTCATTTGAACACTTCTGGACTGGAGGCTGGCCTTGTTTGAATGCCCTTCGAGCAAAACTACGAATTTTAATTTATTATATTAAGATTTTATGTGACATCTTTAAGTTGTACAAAAGAGAAAATAAACACATTTTGATAACTGCTTTTACATTTTGTATGAGCACATCCATCCATTGAAACTGTGCCTGGATAATCCTGTTCAGGGTCATGTGGGAGCTGATGCCTATCCCCAGCAGTCATTGTGTGAGAGGTGGGATACACAGTGAACAGAGCAAAAGTTCATCACAGGGACACTGAACCAGCTGAGACAATCATTCATGCTCTCTCACATCAAGGGATCATTTGAAGTTACCAATTAAGGCCGGTGTCACATTACAAGAAAATCATGCCAGTTTTTGCCCTTCCGACAATCTTAAGGAAGTCCAGATTATTGTGATCACTCTAAAGATAATCATAGCAGATATTCCCGCCATGGTTGTGAGTTAAGAGTGATCTAGTCGGCTCGGAAGGACATTGGGACCTCTCCGACCTCAAATCGAGGATATTCAACATCTTAAGGCTGCGTCACACTACAAGATTTTAAACCAGTCGGCCGATTTTCAAAGACCGAGATCCCCGATTTGAGGTCGGAGTGGTCCCGACGTCCTTCTGAGCCGACTAGATCACTCTTAACTCACCACCCACGGTGGGAATATCTGCTCAGATTATCTTTAGAGCATCACGATAATCTGGACTTCCTTAAGATTGTTGAAAGGACAAAAATCGGCCTGATTTTCTTGTAGTGTGACTCAGGCCTTAGATTTTTTTGGCCCGATATCACAGTGTGTGTAGTGTTCACCTGAGCTCGCAGCTTGTTGAATGAGACGTGTAGCCAATCAGAAAGTGAGGTGATGTAAACACGGAGGGGATTCCAAAATACAGAACACAAAAAAACCTGTCATGACTCAGCAGAAAGTCTGCTGGATGTTAAAAGTCCTACGGAATTGTTTTTCCTCTGGTAAAAATAGTCCACAAATGATCAACATTGTGTGTCACAAATGTTTATTTACTCTGAACTCACATCTCTCTGGAAGTCATGTGAGATTTTTCCTCAGACATCTGAATTCTCGCGAGATTTCAGGAAGTCTCGCGTGATTTAAAATCTGACATCTGAATGGTCATGAATGAAATATCATTTCGTGTGTGGTGTGTTGTCTCTTACCATGTGATTGTACACCACACGCTGGAGGACCAAACCTGGCACATCCATGATCTTTTATCCTCACATGTGGGCTCTATCAGTCTTTAAATATCGGCCGAATGTTTTAAAATCTTGTAGTGTGACTCAGCCTTAACCTGACATGCAAATTTTTGGTCTGTGGGAGGAAACTTTAGAACCAGAAAACCCACAAGTACACCAGAAGATTCACACTTCATACAAAAAGGCCCCAGCCAAGATTTGAACCCAGGATCATCTTCCAGCCATCTATTTTCTGGCCCGTATCATTAGGTCCAGGAGAGGAACCCAGACATCCCTCTCCCCAGTGACAATGGGAAAAATTCCTGAGAAGAGGATACATAATCCCTGCAGAGAGTTCTGGGTCTGCCCTGGGGTCTCCTCCCAGTGGGATGTCCAGAAGGAGGCATTCAGGAGACATCCTATCAAATTATGAACAACCTCGGTTGATTCTAATGGATGCAGAGGAGCAGCAGCTCTGTTTGAGCTCTTTTCTGATGACAGAGTTAATCATTCTATTACTGAAGACTATTTTTGATTGAATTTATTTATTTGAGAAAAGGGCAGAAATCACAAGATTTTTTCTTCTGCTAATTTAATTTATGATTTGTGATTTTATTGTATATTAAATGTATGTTGTTTTGTTTTAAATGAATAAACTTTATAAATAAAAAATTTATCTGACTGGCCAACCCTATAGAGGAAACCTACACTTAACGGCCAATTTATTATGTACACCAGGTTGGACCCCTTTTGCCTTCAGAACTGCATTAATCCTGTGT